CCTCCTGTGCTGCTCCCAGAGCAAATGAAAAGGCCTCTGTGATGTCATTCCCCTGAGAATAGAATGTCCTGAGCTCATACATCTCATCAGACATAGTCCTCACCATCTATTTGTTCAGGTCTTAAATTTTAGCCAGGGCTTGCCTAGGGCTCAGCCTTGTAAGATGATGATGATGATGTTGCAACCTGATGAAGTAGAAAGTACTTTGCATGTGCTCCAATGATGATTTATTATCATCATCACCATCATCATCATCATCATCAATCCACTGAGCAATTGCAGTGTACCACAGCCCCATCAGCCACCAGCATACATCTGGGAATGAATGGGAAATGAACCAGGCCTTTCTATGGACGTTATCACATGGGGAGTCACGGGGAGAAAGTGGAAATAAACCAGACGAGCGGAAGACTTTAATTTATGGGATTTGTCCTGTTCCACCTTGTCTGATAACTAAAATTTGAATTTAAAAGGGGGTTAATTCGAACAAAAACCTGATCTTTTCAAATCCTCAAAAATCCCGAAAATGAAAAGATCAGATTTTCGTTCGAATTAACCCCCTTTTAAATTCAAATTTAGTTATCAGACGAGGCGGAACGGGACAAATCCCGTAAATTAAAGTCTTCCACTTGTCCGGTTTATTTCCACTTTCTCCCCGCGACTCCCCATGTGATAATGTCCTAAGTCACTGGAAGTAGCTTCCCATCAGACTTAAGTCTGGGCATACCACATTCTCAGTCTCGTCCTTCTCTCTATTCACAAAATAAATTGCTAGGTTTGTGTCATGTACAGCTCCAGCTAGAATCACAGAGAATCATAGAGTTGGAAGAAACCACAAGAGCTATCCAGTCAAACCCACTCCCATGCAGAAACTCACAATCAAAGCATCTCCGATCAGGAGTGAGCCTTTCTCCCAGTAGACACAGAGGATAGGTTTTTTGCAACCCTCCTTTGGCCTGCACATTCCTAATGGATGTTGATGGAATATTAACAGTGGGGAGGACTGATGGATCCGGCAGTGGAGCCTTTCGTGACTCCAATAGCACTCAGAGACTAGTTCTAATGCGGTTGGAAGAAGATTCTGCAATCACCACCTTTGCATTCACTCTAATAGCCTGGAGGATCCGTCCAGACCACCACTACCACCCTGACTCTTTTTTTTAAAGAAATGCCACCATGAAAGGGAGGGGTGTCTTGCTGAATTTCAGGGGAGAGAGAGGGTAGTGTATAAATAAGGTGGTTTATGGGGCTGGGGAGAAAACGTGCGCCCCAGGACAGAATCACCGATGAGCCATTTCCCCGCTCCCACCAACCCCTCTCCCATTTTATGGCTTAATTAAAGGCTGCCCCATAAATTCTGGTGCGGCAGCCTGCCCTCTTCTCTCCCCCACACCTTACTCAGCCCCGCTTCTCTGTCCCTCCTCCTCCAACCCAGCAGGGTCCAGAGGCTTAATGAAGAGTGTGATTCATTTGGGACTAGACCTTTTCTCCCTTCCCCAGAAATGGAGGAAGGAGGGGGCACAGGGTGACGTGATGATGTTGCAGGCTCTTTTCACTATAACCCTCCTTCCTCCAAAAACCAGGTATCTGTGTAGGTCTTGCTCTTGCACATCCTTGCTTTTGCTTTCCCATTAAGTCTGAACACACTGACGCTTAGGAGTTGCCTGGTGAAGCAGGCAAAAGCTTCCTAGCTCAGTTAAATCATTGTCATGCATCTCCCATGGACACATCAACCCCCCCAGGCCCATTGCTGGAGGCAAATTCCTCAACTGCTTTTGTGTATGACTGCCCCAACTTGACACCACAACAAGGATGGGGCAGCAGGAGAAGAGTCTCACTCCAACAACATACTTGACCCCAGCTGCCCCATAGGGATCCTTTGTCAACTTCTCCTTTAAAAAACTTTTTTAAAAAAGGATTCTTGGCTGCTGGAGTAGCCACCATGGTAATGGGATGGCTGAAGTGTGTGTGTGTGTGTGTGTGTGTGTGTGTGTGTGTGTGTGT